GAATTCTGCTCCCCAAAAGACGCGCAAGCGACATCATTATTCGTGGTATCAGGACGTTAAGAAAACTCTTCTGACGAACTTCAATCATATGAAACTCATAAGTGCGTTTTGACCAAACTGCACAAGCTAAACCCCAGATCTAGAAAACTGCATATTCAGTGGAATCTACGGTGTCTCTGGATAAACATCCGATGATTCAATTACTAACACTTCACACCCATGAACCCGTCATCCCCTCCTGTCGTTCAGCCTGGAAAGTAAATTGTGCCAAGTGGTATTGTAATATTTTGTAGTTCAAAATATTTCCCTTGCAGACACGAAGCCTATTCAACGTCATTGTTACTATGAGCTAGATTTTACATAACAGGCCGCCATCACGATTTTCTGAGCGTGAGAAAATCACGATATTCACACTTTGCATAGTGCTGGCTATTACTGTATAGGTGTTAAATTTCGTGTTTAAAGTTATACGTTGTCATTTGTTTGTCGAGATGTACATGAGACGGACTTTAAACCATTCAGTTTTTTACTGAATTCGCGGACACAGTGCACGCTGTCTAATTTTTCACTTCTGCAACCAACCCAAAATAAGCCTTATGCTGTTCTAGTCCTTTTTTAACGACTCTGTGATTAAATCCTGTTTTATAGGTCTGCAGTCGGGAAACATTTTTTACGACAGATTTGCCGGAAACTTCAGCCGGTTGGTTTGCCTACAGGATGTTGCTTTTTAACAGGAGCTTAAAAGCCTCTGTGAAATATAACTGCTGTAAAAGTTTAATGTGTGAATTTAGTTCTATTTGGGCTGAGGTATAATTACGCAGGCAGTATTAATGAGGCCGTATCCGGACGTCGATATAAATGAGCTATATCCATCGAGGAGAACGCAAGTCAGTAATGTCGCACGTCGGAATGGAACCTTTATCTCTAAAATGTATTTCCAGAAATGCGAAGCCGGTTATGTTCTGGTTTTTTTTGAGTTCAGTTAAGAACGAGATATCTGGGGAAAAGCATGTATTTCTTGTCATAAAACTCACGCTTCTGGTGAATAATATTGTCTTTCAATGCGACTTGCAAGCGGTATAAGGTACAGTTATGATAGGAAGCACACTGTTATATGAGCCAAAATTGCTGTTTAGTGAATTAAATTTTAAGTTGTATGCAATCGTTCCCAGTTGTCCAGTACAGCGTTGTTGAATTCATGTCAGCATGTCTTTGGTTAAACAAATGAATTAATTCCAGGTAGTCAGGCTTAAATGAACCGCCATATCGTGAAGTTACTATGCAGCACATATCATAACTCCAGTATTTTATTCGGGTTTTGCAGATTTGAATATTTATTTTGACCGAAATGAAAAAAATCCATGATATCCGTGCGATTGCGACCTGTGCTAACAAGAGGAGTGCTTTGTACAGTCAACACTCTTACCCACATTTGGATCCAATTACCCGCCCAGCGTGCTGAAATGCATAGAAATTTCTGATTCGCATCCAGAAAGTTAACAGTTCAAGTAGGGTTTTCTATTCAATAAATCAAAAATCCAGCAGATGACTACCAGACACAGTTGCTCATTAGAGCCTGTGGCAAAATGAACAATTCCTTTTACCACAAATTGTTTAAATCAGCTAAGAAGCCCATAACAATTAATTTCATCTAGTAGCAATCTGGTGTATCTAAGATTGATTTTCTAGGAAATCCTGCTTAAGCAGTCAACTTACTTCATCAACATCGGTAGGTTGTGTAATTATTTACGTACTGATAACGCAGCTACAGTAAATGACCTAACTCATGAAATGTTGGCCGAGATTCTGAAATGTGTTTTCGATTTAGAAGGATAACTTAGGCGCGGTCGTAATACTGATTATCATTCGGCATATTCCAGTAAAATTTCAGACTTGCCAAGATGTCCGCTTTTGAATGCGCTTCTGCTAGATCTCCTGTGAAACCCACTACTTAGGTAGCATACATTCTTCTCATTGATTTTCGATGGTCTTATAAGATTCAATATATTTTATAGAAAACATGCCCACACACATATACTTTCTTCTACTCATTCGGTGGCAAATCACGCTTACTTTAAGGGTTATTTCTGAAGACAGGGCATATTTAGGTTTAAAAGACGTTTTTAATTATGCGATTTTAAGGCGCGCAATGAACATTCATGCAGCATCGTACCTGTGTGTTTACCCTTGCTTCTTTTGAAATATATATTTCATGAACACTTAATGGTTTCTTCTTAAAGGCAAAGAGTAATAAATTATTTTCTTACATGAAAAGCATGCGCCTTATAGAAATAAATCGCTTAATTCTAATGCAACGACTGTTCTGATTTAAAATAATTCGGTAATTGGAAAACTTTTTAAAACCTAAACATCCCCTGTCTTAAAAAATAAACTGTAAGGTCGACGTGATTCGCCACCGAATGTAAGTGTGTACATGTTTTCTATAAAATATATTTAAACTTATAATACCATCAAAATCAATTCGGAAAATGCATGCTACTTGAGTAGTCATTGATTATGGAGTGTTAATTTTTCAGGAAATCAAAAAGAAACGCATTCAAAAGCCGGCATCCTGGCAAGTCCGATATATTGCTGGATTATGTCAAATAATAATGAATTTTACAAATCCACCTAAGTAATCCTTCCAAATCAAAGACGCATTTCAGAATTTTGGCTAACATTTCACGAGGTAGCTCACTTACTGTACAACTTAAACCTAAAAATACGTGTTTCGTCGATGTTGTGCCGCTACCTGACGCCGTCGCGAAGGGTTCGGCCCATCAGTGCGACCTCCAGATTTCCTCGTGTGTGTTCTGGTATATGATCACCAGTTTCACCTGGCTTTATTTACCTTCCAAGGAGATTAATGCCCGAACTTGAAGTAAATCCTTTGGAGCTGAAAGTTTAGGAACGGTCTGGACGGGCAACTGAATCCAACTGCGAATAAAATCGTGACTGCCGGCAGGACCTTGCAGTTTATGTGGTTAGAACATTAGTTGTCCGAAGGCATTTCCCTCGCTGTCGTGATTTAGAATGCCACTGAGATTGCCGTGGTTTTACAGTTGGGTCAAGTCAAATCGACTACCGTTTGTCCAGACGCCATTTAAATTGACAGACGTGGATTCTGCGGCCCAAGAAGGACCATTCGTCGTTTGCCATAATTTGTCATAATTCATACTTTACACTAATGTGGATTCACTACGGCGTCCGGCAATGTTGCTCAGTATTCATTGGACTACATTGTGTAATTTAATTGACAGCATATCTGCCGCTGAAAGGTGCCATTGCCCTAGTATGTTTTGACATTTCTTGCACACCCCCTGCGAGCTGAGAAATAAATGGTCTGCAGATTGCCCAGATGTGACATATAGCTAGGCCTCATTTTGTTTGTTAATTAAATAACTTTCTAGTAATTAAAAACGTTTACATGCCTACGTATATGCACACACATACAGTAGGCGGACCTGCACATGAAACGCTAACGGAATTTTTAAAATACGTTTCCGTTTTGCAAAGCTAAATTAATTAGAGTTGTAAACCATTTCTTCAAGCAACACCTCAGGAAGCCGGCTTTCAAACAAACCCTCTTTTGGCTACATGTGCTATCCACGCTATTAAAAAATAAATGCATATTTATCACACTACTTTTAATTTATTGTTATGCCGTTAAAAATTAAATTTTATTAATTCCTTTGCTCATTTGGTAGAAACTCACATCTTCTTTCAATCTTTTACTAAATTAAGGGGTACTATTAAGTTTAAAAAGAGTTGTTTTCCTTTGTTACTCCTTAGTACTGTGTAACGGCCGTTCATAAAGCCTCTTGTCTCTGTATAAAGGAATGTGGCTCAAATACACAGTTAAATTTTATAAAGCGCATATGGTCTTCTCTTAATACGGAAAAGAAATGTACGGTTTTCCATAAGCGTAAAATATAAGGCTTGAAGCGTGGAAACTCTTGGATAGAAGTATAGCGGTAGGTCGGATTCAAAGTTATTGAGTAATTAGAAATATATTTGAAAATGAAATAAAACATTTACTTGAAACATAAAATTGCAGGAAGAATGAGACAATGAATAAGCATTTCTTGTGTATGATTCCTTGTAAGTATAATTACACGTTCAAGGACACCTAACATTAATGACATAAAGCCATGCTATTTAGGTAGCCATTTTTTACAGACTGTTATTTTTACATGCAGTCAGAAAAAAATTAATTCGAAATCCGCCATTCCCAGGTAGCTGAATTTTAGCCCAATCATGCATGATTGATGATTAGTTTTACAACTCCACTCCGATATTCTTTCCGAGACGAAAACGTATTTTAGAGTATAGCGTGACAGTTCGTGAGTTAGCCCACCTAATGTTCACACAGTGAGCTAGGTGTTTATGCAGGTTTTCGTATTTGTGCGAAACGTTCCGTCGTACTTTTGCATGCGCACTGCTTACTGGCAATACATTTGATTCACTCTAATAAATTAAACTCTACTTTTTATAAAAAAAGGTGGAATTCTTAACTTAAGCAAGACTTACGCATTAGTGCATGCAGTATTCTCAATAAAAATTTTAATTTCAACTTTATCACTCATTTTCGAACAGCAAAGTCGCGCTGGGAGACATTAAAATTGCAAACGAAAATCATCCGAGTACGCATTTTTAAAACATTAAAAAAAACCGGCTAAATAATTCCATTATGCCTCTCCTAAATTTCCTCTTAGAATAGATGTGCACAGATAGCATAGCATAGTGATTTTCAAGGTCGAACGTGATGCGCTTAGAGAACTCAAGGCCGACAAAACCTGGTCATCGTGCCAGCAGACAAAGGACGCGCCACAGTTGTACTGGACAGGACAGACTACCTTCAAAAAGCCAAAGGTTTACTGGAGGACCGACAGTTCTATGTCCCATGTGCAACGAACCCTTTAAAGGCGCTGACACGCGAAATTAATGCTACGTTGTTGGCCTTGGAGAACTCAGGTGCAATAACACCGACCGACAGACGCATGGCAAGACCCCGATTCTATGGCCTCCCTAAGGTGCACAAAGACGGCGCTCCTCTCCGACCCATCGTGTCGCTCAAAGGGACTCCAACGTACGGACTGGCTAAGTGGCTGTTCCGGCGTCTCAAGTTCCTGACCGCTGAGTCAGACACCACGGTCTCTTCGTCAGCACAATTCCTGGAGAAACTCAAAGGGGTAAGCATCCATCCAAATGAGGTCATGGTATCTTTTGATGTTACATCCCTTTTTACTTCTATTCCCCAGGACCTGGCGATCGAGACAATTGAACTGCTACTACAAAGCAAAAACGATGAAACGGAGAATCGTCTTGGACGCGCCCAAATCCTTCAGCTCCTGAAGCTCTGTCGCAGGACGTACTTCACGTTCGACGGGACAATCTACGAACAGGTGAAGGGCACACCAATGGGTTCGCCGATTTCGGGATTTATCGCCGAGGCGGTCCTGCAACGGTTAGAGTCGCTGGTCTTCCAACACCACAGACCGAAATTCTGGGCCCGGTATGTGGATGATACCTTCGTCGTCATCGAACGGGATCAGGTGTTGACATTCCAAGAACATCTCAACGCCGTCTTCCCGGACATACAATTAACGATGGCGGAGGAAGAGAACAACCAGCTGGCCTTCCTGGATGTCCTCGTATGCCGCAAGGATTGTGGTGGACTAAAGACCAAAGTGTTCAGGAAAGCGACAAATACGATGCAAGTACTGAACTTCAACAGTAACCACCCAATCAGCCACAAACGCAGTTGTGTAAGGACGCTCTTTCGGCGTGTCGAAACGCACTGCAGTGAGCCGGAAGACGGGTCTTCAAAGCCAATGGCTACCCGCGCAACTTCGTCAACCGGTGCATACGCAAAAGGGACCAAAGGCCTAACCGCACGGACACCACGGTCTTGGCGGGCACTTCCGTATGTCAAGAACGTTTCGGAAGCTGTCGGCCGCCTTCTCGCACCACTTGGGGTTGGAGTGGCACACAGACCGGAGGCAACCATCAGACGTCTGATCATGAAACCGAAAGACCCACTGCCACGGCTAGAAACGTCTGGAGTCGTTTATCGGATCTGGTGCAGTTGCGGACAAAGCAACTACGTCGGAGAAACCGGAAGACAGCTCCGAACGAGAATGGCCGAACACGCGGCAGCGGTGCGCAGAAATGACGCCAGCTCTCAAGTTACAGCTCATTCGACGAGATCCGGCCACACATTTAAATTCGATGAGGCCGAAATTCTCGCAAGAGGTGACAACCGCGTGAGCCGGGAGCTACTGGAATCATGGTTTACTGGCCCCCAGTCCATCAACAAGTGCAACGATCTTCCCATTCAATACAGCGTGCTGAGACTTCGTCTAGGCGGAGAAATTGGCCACGCGGGGAGCGCACTGGTGAACACTCTTCCCAACACCCGGGTCAACGCGTCAGATGGTCGAGCAATCATCACACCAACATCCAACGCACGTGATGAAATTGAAGCAATTATCGACTCGAATGCCGGCCATCAAGCAATGATCACACCAAGCGTGACAACGGTCATAGGTATGCGGTAGCATGGCTGCCGCATCCTATAAATACCGCAGCCCCTTGTGCAACAACCACCCGTTTCTGTTCTTTTGTCTCTGATGATGGATTCGAGTAGGAATCCGAAACGTCAGGCTAATAAAGCTCTTGTCCCGGCGATCGTGTCTTCTTCTTCAATTCACCAAACTATCATCCTGTTCTCAATGTTAATAAAGAGAAGTGAGGGTCTATTATAATCCCCTTTAATCAAAACAACCCATAATTATTCGCCGCAGACAGAAAGAAGGGACGTCATAATTTATTATTACCCCCGGACATTACGTAAATCTCGTCGCCGTATGACGCCCACGCAAGAACATACGCTGCAGTGTGACAATAGTTGCAAGAAAAAGGGTTGTATCCTGCTGGAAAATCTTAATTTGCGGAATCTAAAGCCCGATGTTCGAGACAGAAGTTTCTTCGCTGGTAAACTGTAATAATGTTATTTAACGTACGTTATACTGGCTGCCACTGAATATTAGTCACACTTGCACATAATATATGTGAATCTCTGTATATAGAGAGATTGTACCCTTGTGATGACCCATATATGTGCTGTATGTACATGTTCATTCATCTAATTAAAAGTTCCCTGGAGTTTGTTTGCACATCTAAGGAATATTCAGAATTTGATATATTTTAAAGTGCTGTCCTTACGTGTAATACCAGCGACATTACCTGGAACAACGACAAAGGACGAAATTATGAATTTAAAATTACGATGATTTTATCCTTGATTCTAGCATTGCAGTCTGAACTGCATAGTACATTGAGGGACAATCAAAAGTAAATATCTACTGGTTAAAATAGAAAGATGGTCACTGGAGAAAGTTTATGACGTTATTTAAATGCTTCGTAGAGGGGACAGCAAAAGGATTGCTTTGTGCATGACATGCAGCAGAAACTTCTAGGGAAGCTGAACAAGTCCTTTGAAAATGTCCTCTCTGCTCCTTGCATATTTCTTCGATCTGGGTCCTTTGCAAGGGCTCCTAGAAAGTGCGTCAGACCTATCATGTACAGCATTCAAACAGCGCGGGTTTGATAATGCCATTTCATTGTTTAAGCGCGCTCACCTATAACCCGATTTCCGCCCATAAAACTATGTCCACTCTACCAAAAATTGTGAATTTTCGAATTTAATATGTCATCTGTGATTTATCTTTGACTGGAAAACACTATGGCTTTACACAGTATCTGGTCTGTCTTATATCAATCAAAATAATGAGATCCATTTTCAACTAAAAGGGAGTAAATAGGTGGGATTTTAATATCGAATATCAAATAAAAATAATGGCGAACTATTTTAATGATGCCAGGCCTTGACGTCTGCACGGATTACATTCTTACCGTTTGCTTAAACATTACCGGTAAAAAGGTACTTTTTAACTTATTTTTACTGATTGTCCACGCAATTATGAATACCTATATATGTATATATGTGCACATATGTGAAATACGTCAGACGTAACCGAGTAGCCCAAACGGTCATAACAAACTGACAAAGCCTAATGATATTCAGGCTATACATTTTTACCAAATGTAATAAAAGTATTTTAGAGCACAATCAGAGTACGGTATAATTGCTATCTCATGAAATTTTAGCCAAAGTTCTTAAATGTGCTCTTAATTCAAAAATATCGCTTAATTGGAGTTGTAGGATTAATCATAATGCAGCATGGTCCAAAATTGCTTCAGTTCTGCTATAATGCGGGCTTTTGAGAGAAATATTTTGAAAATGGTCTCTGAAGCACTATCAATTATAACCATTGATTTTTGATGCCATTAGAAGTACAAATAAATTATGCAGAAAAGACGCACAAAAGCAGTTTTCAATGTTCTCGCTTGGTAGCAAATTACGTTTATTTAATGGTCTTTACTGGAAGGGACAGTAGATTTTGATTTTAAAAGGGTTTTTATGATCATGCTTTTATGATCATAAAATGTTCATTCCTGCAGCATCTCAATAGCAATTCTGTCAATGATACTTGAAAGTAAACAGCCTGGTTCACCGCCATTTTTTAAAAATTTTATAATTCCATTATGATTCCTTCCCAAAAGCGTAAATATATATATGATATCCGTTTGCCTGATGGTATAGGACGTGTATATTCAAAACCTCAGATACAAATGTAGCGGGAGGTGGAGCATAATTTTTTTGAGAACCAAGGAAATCGAATTTACAAGGAGGTCAAAATTCAACGGGGAGATTGTACTATCTAGGTTGTAATATTTACGAACATTGCAAACATTGGTGTCTTGGCGTGACATAACTTCCTATAATTATGTTACAGTACAATTGACCTTACGACACCACCTAAGGACACGTTTCGAAATGAAATCTTATTTTAGAATTTCGGCTAAAATTTCATGAGATAACACATTTACTGTAGGCACTCAAACCTAAGGATCTCCTTATGTCAAGTTCAAACATCCGAATGAACGCACTTTTTGCCGCATCATTAAAAGAAAACATAGGTTTCAGTGCGTCTTGTTTAAAAAATATTTGGCTTCATGGGAACATTAAAAATCAAAGGAGAATGTTTTCTACAAACAGCCGTATGCTTCCTGTTCCTTATCTGTAGGTTTTATGGATTGTGCGTGTCTGTCATGCCCTGATTCGCCAAGTCATGGTCCCCGCTGCCTAGTATGGACTGGCAACTCCGTGAGACCTGGTTCCCTTCCGGCCGATGTGCTTACGCTCCCACTGGATATGCAGGCCGCGAGTATGGTTGCTCAGATATCCTTTCTTTGTGACGCGTCGTGGTGCTGTTTTTGTTGATTAAAATCTTAATCAAATGTTTGTTGTGGACTGGAGAGCCTAGTTGTTCGTCTATGAGTGGGATTTTTTCCGGACCAGCCTCCTACGCCCTCTCCTTTGTCCGGTCTTTTTGGAATTATTTTCAAACCGGGTTAACGTTGAAGGAGGTGCATAAGGTGAGATAAATGCCCTTAAAATCTTGTATCACTGTAAAGTAGTTCACGCACATGTCAGCATGCATGCTCTCACCTTACTGTGGAACACTCGGTGGATAATGTCGAAAACAACGGTCGTATTGCCGTTTTGAAACGACTGGTCACAGTTAATGAGCTGTTTTGTTGAAACAATTAAAATCTGCTTTCCATGCCTTTAGAAAAATCGTACTGGGAAAATTGCTTCAAACAAACTGGGTGGCAATTTTTTCATGAATGCGATTTTAACGACAGCTCAAACAATCGTAGGCATCCAGGCGCGATTGAAATATTTTCCAAATAACATGGCCTGAAAGTCAACAGTAAAACCCCTCTAATCGAAATAAAATTTTAAAATTGTGGGTATCACTTCATAAGATTGCTCAGGTATTGAGTGTTATTTATTGCAATTTAAGTCATTCCTTCAGTAATACCTTCAGTAACAGGGTGAATGCATTTAAATCACTGCCCAAACAGGAAAATAAAATCGATCACAACTATGATATATAGAGGGTGGGTGGGATTAAACGCTTTTTAGCAAGATAATTACTCTGGTACACTGTCATCAGGTCCTCGTATCCTGCAATGTGCCTTAGCGTTTAGTATGACATGCAAAAACTACATAAAACACTTCCGCAGCATCCGAAAAATGTTTCGCCCTCTAGATCACCACTCAGCTGGATTTCTGTGCTTATGACCTGTACTGAAATACCAGTATGTCAAACGCTGTTTGATATTTTTACCCCCTAAAACAGCGACGCAATTGATGCGTTTAGAGAAGTACAAGATATTCCCTTTAGCTGAATGTGCGGACAAACCCTAAAGTGAGTGACCGATCTTAATGTTGGCATGAATACTTAAATACGTGTTCAATCACGGAGGATTACTTAAGGGAGGCTGTAATACTGATTATCATTTTGCATAATCCTATAGTGTTTCGCACTAACAAGGAAGGCAATTTTTGAGTTCACCTTCTTCGAAGTTCTGCAAAAACCACATTGGGCAGAAAATGACTACTTAATTTTTATGCATTTTTACGCGGATTTTTGATGGTCTTATAAATCCAAATATATTTTTTTGAAAACATACACCTTGATAGGCTTTTAATTGCTTGGTATAAAATAGTATTTTCTTTTCATTTTATATACAAATAAGCGTTAGTTTTTGGTTCTAAAGAGGTTTCCGATTGTGAGATTTTTAGGACAATGCGATATTCATACATACAGTTTCGTAAGTGCCCCTCATGAAATACACGAAAAAGTCGGCGTTCATTGCAAAATTATACAAAATCTAGATGGTGTTTTCTTATGGTCTAGACGAATGGTTGATTTTCCTTGTGCGGAAAGCCTATAGCTTGTTAACTAGAATCGCTATACGCTAACGCAACGGCTGATAGCGCTGATAATTATTCGTGCATGAGGAAACTTCTCCAAATTCCAAACATACACATTTTAGGACATAAACTGTAAAAATGTGATTTTCCACCAAAATAATGAAACAATGCATATATTTGTATGTTTTCCATAAAATATATTTAAATTTATAAGACCGCAAGAAAAAAATGCAACGATTCATGCAAATAAGCAGTCTTTGTTACCGAGTGGGGTTTCTGCAGGAGGTCAGAAAGAAGTGCATTAGAAAACAAATCTTGGCACGTCCGAAATAGTGTAGGTTTTTGCTGAGTGATACTCAGTGTTCCAGCTCGACCTAAGTAATCCTTCCTATTCAAAAACGCCTTTCAGAGTTTCGACCAACATTTCTTTAGATCGGTCGCGTAGTCTATTTTCTGTCTGATAGCTGTTATGCTACTAAAATTCATTGACGAAACGCCGACAGAGAATTTTGCGTCTTCCTAGTTGACGTAGGCAGTCCAACTTCTAACCTATTTTAGTTTCTTGCCCAGATGTCAGCGAGAATAGTCACAACTTGTGAATTTTCCCTATACGAATTAAAAAGCCGATTGCATGTAGCGATACTCTTTAAAAGGAGAAAAACCTCCAATATTAAACTGGCAACGTTGCATTTTTACCAGAAAGATGTC